CTGTTTTCGGTTGCTGCGTAGGAAATCAATCGGCGCATCACGCCAGGTTGCCGGGACTGTGCAGGACCAACACTGCATTCTTGTTGCAGACGTGTGAAACCCTTGATGAGAGCCTGGCGTGGGTGGGCGCCCTGATCAGCATGCTCAACCTAGGGGTTTGGGACCCGACCCCAGGGGTTTGAGGCCCGGGCTCTCGGGGCCTGGGGTCTTGGGCCGCCAAGCGCCAAATATGCGCGGAGAAGTCGCGACAGCTAAACCTAACCCCTAAACCTTGATGTTTCCACGCAACAAGATTAGTTCAAACTAGGCTGGCGGGACTGCGCGCAGGAAATCAATCGGTGCAACAAGCCAGGTTGCCGGGACCGTGTCAGGACCAACGCTGCATTCCATTCGTCCATGCCTTCATGAGCCTAGCTTGGGGTGGCCCCCCATGAGCATGCTCGGGCAGCCCCCAGCCTGACATGCAGGCCTTTGAACTTGCCTGACAAGACACGGTGGCAGCTTGGGCACCCGGGCCCAGAGGCTTGGGGTAGGGGGCCTGGGAGCAAAACCTCAAACACCGATTTTTGGATGTATCTGAAAAATCTCCTGGGGGAATCCTGGCGAAGAGAAAAGAAGAGGGTTTTCGCCGTCTCCGAGTCCACTGAAACCATCCAACACGCCACCCAGGTCAGCGGACATCAAGTGTATTGCCCTATTCTACTGAATCCTTAAGACTACAAACGCAAATTCTACGAGATCAGCCTTTAAATCCCTTAGCCGAAGATTCCTCAATCTAATCATTATACCCCTTACCACCAGTAAGCCTGTCAGAACTGCGCCTTATAACGCCGCGGATCTAGCCTCATTGCGGATCTAGCCTTGTTGGATTATGTAAGCGCACGTTTCGCTAAAGCAGTTGATAATTCCTGAATCAAAAACCTTCAAACTCTGACCCCAACGCATGTCAACCATAACCCGAAATCATGTCAACCCGAAACCTGAGTGAGCCCTCATCCCTGAACGCTCAACAAAATAGCAGTTTCCATTTCATAGTCTATCTTCTTTGTATTTGATTCTCAACTACAGAACTTGAATATTTGTATACGCCCCTAGCTAGCAGACCCCTATTAACCTTACAATATCCTCATGAACCTTGTATTCAGAAGCCCAACCCTAAAGCCCGTAAACCATAATTCGTCACTCCTTCAATCCTACAGTCCCTGACAGATTGCCTGCCGCGAGACGCTCCGAAGCCTCCCAGCCACGCCCGAGCGACTCATCCAGGCCTTTTGAACTATAGTCCTTATAGGTCCCTTCTGAGTTTCCATGTTCATTTGCAGGAGTGTAGCCACTTGTAGCTACTAAAGACTATGCTCATGTCTAGGGCTTTCCTCCCCACTATCGCGAAACTTTCCCTAACTCAATGACATCCCGAAATCATGTTACAACAGCCCTAAACGCCAAACGTAGTACTCTCCCAGACAGGCAAGTAGGGTTTCTCGTATGCTGCGACTTTCTTTTTCGAACGTAACCTGTAGAGACACTCGAATCCCCAGGTCCTTGTTCAAGCAGATGCCTGAAGATCCCTAAGGGTACCCCTATTTTGAAAAATGCCTCAGGCAGAGCAGACGGGCTTGGAGGACTTCCTCCCGGATGGTTTGTAAGTTTTGGGTCTGCTTGTCAGGATGTTGGAATACGTGGGCAGGGTCTTATAGGAACGGAGAATCAACTTGAAAATAAAGTGGAACATGAAGTGAAAGCTAGGATTGTATAAGGGATTGCGATTTATCCTGCCCCACACATGTTTTGTTGGGCCAGCTCATTGACACATTGTTCCCCATTAGTATCCTACATACTAGGTCGGCTGACCTTCAATCTAGCGGCAGCGCTTGACGATTTGTGGTCTACAGATTCGTGACAACCGCGAAATCCATTGTGCAATATATCAAATCACTACATATGCACAGTTTTCTCTCTGCGCAATTAGCCAGGCCACAGGCCCGAATCTGTATGGGCTTGCGCCGAAGCTAAGCCCTACCCCCAGGGGTGCTAGTAGTACCGTGCAACTGGCACACTAGAATCCGCAGCGGGGAGCTTGTCCCAAAGATTGTGCGGTGTTTTTCGCTTTAGAAAAGGAAAGTAGACACTCAAGTCGTTTCAGGACGCCACTCCCGCTAATAACTAGACCCAGGTATTCTATAGCTTCATTCAGCAGCTAGGCGGGGCCCCCTTTGTGCACGGCTGTCTTAACCTGGGCACAGTCATCTGGAAATTCAGAAGTCTTTTCTCCGTATCCGACTTTGACAACAATCCAGACAAACAGTGGTACTAGCGCATGCCCCCTGCACAACCTTCCCCACCAATTTTTCTTGGCCATGTGGGGAGGTCCGTACCCAGCTTGTTGAGAAGCAGACCCAGATGGCGCTCCAAACAAATTCATGGTACAACCATGACGTACAGGTCACTGAATTTCTCCTGCAGTTTTTCTTTTCTCTATTGTCCGCAACATCCCACTGCTAATCCCCTAGGACCGGGATGGGTTCATAGGCAGCGCAGTAGACCCTTGCTTGGATTGGAAGCCTCCTCACTGGATCCTCACATCTCAGATGTGGCGCGCAACTTGCTTCATCTCCCATCAGCGTGCTGGGATGACACGATCCCCATCTGCAGATCTGGTTCCACTATACTGTACTGAACTTCGTGCAATGTCTTCTTAGAAACTGGTCGAAAAATCCTCATGCGCTTTTCCTTGAGAAAGCAACCGTCCATGCCGAGCTGCACATTGCAATCTGATCATTCACCAACTGCAGTCCATTAACGCTCGCCCTTATTCCGCTCTAGGTTACTCCATTTTCAGGGGCCACATTTGCCCAACACTTGATCCAACGACTGACTTATGTCCGAGAATGATATCAGAAATCCCTATATAGAGTTTCGAAATTTGGAAGTTTTGCAGCGGGTGGTAGTAGGGTGCAGGTTTATTAGGAATTGGGCACTGGGTTTAGCTGTTGAGGCTCACGGGTAGTTATGAGTTGATTTCCAGGTTCCAAAACATCTGTTGTAATTTTTGCACATGCAGTGAATTCTTCCGGCCGTGTCACCTGTTGGAATCCCATAGCCCAAAACCGTGTGGCGATTTTTGCCCATAGGACCAGTACACGCGCTGCGTCCTTGTTCTTGCACGAGCCTGCACCGACGAGGAGCTGGGTGGAGAAATACTCAGGTCTGGACAACTCATGGCGAACTCTGTAGGGATCCGCACATATACATATATACACGTATACACGCATTGCATGTTGCAGTGTGTATACATATAGTTTTTTCTCGTGCTTACAGCCGCACTCATATGGGTATAGATTTCATGAGGATATACGCATGTTAGATGTGTACCTGTATGTGTGCATGTTTACCTCTATATATATATATCTATATCTGTATCAGTAGATAGTAATCAATGTTCGGTATGGAAGGATTGTACATACAGCCAAGCTATACTACAGCCCTTGTGTGAGGGAGCGTAAGTGTGAGTTTTAGAACCTTATGGACTGATTGAAGGGAATCCCTTTAATATCCTTTCAGTCTCTGTTCGATCTCGCGTCGACGGGGGCCCTCAGCGTCACCCCACTTTGCATGGCCCGGAACTCTGATGCCACAAAAGCGCCTAACCGGGAATATCCAGATAGGGACCCCGCTCATGTATTCTTGGGTCCGCAAGACCCAGAACCCAACACCTTAAACCCAATTGTGTCCGGAAGCACATATATCCCTGAATCCTACACTTCCAAATAATGAACCCCTTGCAAGGCACCCAAGCTTCTGAAGGTGGCCCGTACTGTTGGAAACTGCCCCGATGAGGACCTCACGAAGCTCCGGGAATCCTCACCCGATGCTCTTCTTGCGGTGGCTACGGCCATGCGATCCTTACGTCCAGCCATCTTGTCAGAGGAGCGCTGGCCGTAAATCTTGGGATTTAGGGGGTTTAGGGTTCAGGGTTGGGGGTTTGGTTTTTAGGGTTGGGGGTTTGGCGTTTTAGGGTTTTCAGGGCTTGGGGTTTTGGATTTAGGTTTGGGGTTTAGGGCTGCTCCCACCCAAATGCCGAACTCCTACTGAAGATCATCCAGAGTTGGCAACACGAGTTATCCAAAAGCAAGCTCTCCCCAAGTAACATGGAACCCCAAAGAATAGTCCTTGAGGAAAGGACACAAGTCTTTCTTGGGTTATTTTTGGGGGTCCCACATTAGTTCGGGGGACAGTGTTCACCAAAAACTAAACCCCAAACCTGGATCCCTTAGTGCAAACTCTAAAAACCAAAGCCCAGAAAACCTTAACACCCAAACCCCAAACCCTCCTAAACCACAAGCTGAGAGACCCCAAACCCTAAGACTCTGAACCCTGACCCCTAAACCCTTGACCCTTTCACTCTCAGGACGCACAGATCCTGACTGCAGCTACGCCTGGCCTGAAGGTCCCCGAATCAACGTTTTCAGTCCTCACATAGGGATAGATGGTATATGTATATACATATAGAGAGAGACTCAGGAATACACGCGCACACACACACACATATATATATATATACATATATCTACACACATGCATATATACACATAATATGTATATATATATACATATGTATTTAACACCAACATACATATCATCTGTGTATGTGTGTGTATATATATATATACATACACACATGTTTGTGGTGTATAGGGGTTACATAGGGGTATAGAGGGACATTGTAGGGACATAGGATCCAATGATGGTGAATCACATGGAACAGAAGATGAAACATGAAATGGAAACTGCAATATCAGGGGGATTAGATTCGGCATCCAAAGCAATTCGAACAGAACATGGAACATCAAATGGAACATCGAATGGAATTTGGGAATATAGATAGTTTGCAAGGGCTTAGGTTTCCAAAAGCTAGGGGTCCCTTTTGCAAATCCCCATTAAAAAAAAGGTGTATATATATATATGTATGTATATGTATATTTATATGTATATGTATATGGGGCTGGGGCCCATATTGATACAAACCAAGGTATGGGGTTCGTCAAATTCAGGGGGCCTAGCAGATTAAAGGGACTATCCTTTCTGTACGCTCTGCCCCCCGCCCATTCAGATAAGCACCTGCCTGAACGTGCATATATGTTACACTGCTATTTTTGGCGGATACCTTCAGGTGGTTTTAAGGGGCTCATAGGGTGGGATTCGGGGGTATAGCGCTTAACTGTTTTTGTCCAACCAAAATTATGTGGCATAGGGAGCTAAGCTCTGAGCCCTGCACCTCAAGCTGTGAACTGTACTCGCTAAACCCTAAAACCTAAGGTGCGTCGCGGGCCAGATTGGGAGTGGGGGGACCAGGATGGGCATGGCCTCGGGCACACCACCAGTAGCTAGGTGGCAATTGCGGAAAATTTGTAATTCATGATCTTGGGCTTAGGGCTACGCGTTTGCGGCATGCCGCCAGTGGCTAAAGAGACGGCAGGTGGCTATTTGCAATACTTTCAGTTTCCCTGATTGTTTGGCAAGGGTTCCTTTTCACATAGAACTCTGGGGGCCTTTACAGCACAACTGAGGCAGTGAAAACTCACCAGGCTGGGTGGAGGTTGCGTGGGCTTGCGGACGCAGCAACGTGTACCGTGTTGGGTGTGATGGCAAGTACGACCTTGTGATCGTTGATTGAGGCGCCGGTGCAATGCACAGCATCCAAAGAGAGCCGCGCTCAATTTTTGCAGATCTGCTGCCTAGCAACCACAAAAGTTCCAGTAGAGTTTCATTGAAGGACAGAACAGCACCCCAGTCTGCACAAGAAAAAGCGTGTTGGGCGTACATGTTCAGAGTTTCATAAGGCTTCCAGGGCTCTGGAGGGGCTCATAGCCTGAAACCCATTAAGGGGGTGGAGGGGTTGTCAACACCAGTGTTTTTGGGGTCTCTTTGAACCTGAGGCTCATGTGACATGTGGAGGGCCCTAATGTTGACACTAACCAGAGTTGGCATGATCCTTCAGAGGGCTATGTCGGTATTGGGGGGGGAGTAGCCTTGAGTCTATAGTCCCTCTTAAGTAGATAGAATAGGGGGTATACAGGGATCTTATTAAAATATAGTAAACCATATTCTATCTACATAAGGGGGATTATGCAGCTTGCGGCTTCAAGTGCTAATCCGAAATTGGCCCAGGACGAGGTGTCGGCGTACATCAAGGACATGCGGAAGCCCGATTTCAATCCATAATCGTTTTGGGGTTTAGGGTTTACGGTTTTAGGATTTTAGGGTTTTAGGGTTTTAGGCTTAAGGTTAGGGGTTTAGGGTATCACCATTTTTTGGCAGAAAATGTCGCCACAAGCAAGGTAACAGCTCCGGGTAATTGCATGTCCACTCATATCAGGACTGTTTTGCCCTCCTGGAACCCCATCTACTACGTGGACCGCCGTCCTGTAAGATGCCTACTGGGGGAGAGTATGTTCAGCTTTTCTTGGTGACGTTTGATTTTTTTCTTTCCAGCTGTCGTGGAACTGAGGCAGATTCTTCTCAGACAGGACCCTGCTGGCTGAGCTGTTTCTACGATAAAGGGAACTGGGTCAGCTCCTGACTACTAGAGCCCCATAGCGGAATATATAAACATCTGCCGTTTTTGGAACAGCAACTTCGGCCGAGTCCCATATGTCTCAAGCAAGCTGTGCCCGTGCTCACCTTGCCGTGTCCTCCTTGGTATTTTGGTATATAGACTTTAGCATTTAGGGTTACCATTATATTAACGCTACCGTGCGGCGCCTCGAGCACCGGTCAGTTGTGCTGTCGCAGACATACTGCAGCTGCCGTCAGAGTGGCAGTTGGGTTGACAGGCCGACCAGAAAAATGCGGAGGGAGCGGGCCGGCGCGGCCTGCGGAGAGGAAGGGCCTGGCAAAAATCTTCTCCAAACCCCTGCTGAGACCCGCCCATAGAATTTGTAGCAGTACCTGCATTGCCTGCTAGGGGGCTCTAACCAATCTATGGCAATTACAGGATCATCCTGCTGCGCTGTTGGCAGGGAGCGGGCCGGCACGAGGGCGGAAAGGAAGGGCCTGGTAAAAAAGCTTTTCCAAACCTTCTGCCCCGTAATTTCATGCAATACCTGAATAGCCTGCTGGATTTCCTTCAACATTTGTATAGAAATGCGGGAGATTGGCCGAGATGGGCAAGGCGGGGGGGGAGGCTTCTGAATTAGGTTGCTGGGAGTCGGAAGGATGGGTCCCCGATGTTAGACTGTTAGAAATGGCGGTCCCTCCTTGCAATCCCTAGGGATATGTAGGGTCCACCTAAAAAAAGATATGTTGGGACTCTTTTGAGAAACTCTGATACGGTTCAGAAATCCATGCTGCATGCATGCTTTCAACTGACACTTCACGTGACTCCCGACGGCTTCTGGCAGGGTGGCAGGGTCATCTTACAGTAGACAGGTTGCAAACATGGGTTAGAGTACGGGGTTTAGGGGCATGTGAGGGTTCCAAACTCGTGGCCCCTTTTTGGTTTAGGGTGTTGGGTTCAGGGTTTCGTGAGACACAGGCAGGTGGTCTCTTTAAACGGAGTTTCGGTCTCTTGTAAGGTGTTATGTAAGGACAGCTGAGTTTCATTGGGCCGTATAGGAAACAGATTAAGAGCCCACCAACCAGATGAACCGACATTGCTCCACAGCACCGTAGTCAAACTCAGCCAGCATCGTTGAAATGTGGAGCCATCAGTCGCGAAGCTTATGCGACGTTGGCACCCCGTATCCAGAAATCCAACTCCAGGAAGCATACCTTGACACACAACAATCCTTAAACCCCAAACTTGAAGCTATCAAGAGTCACGCAGGACGCTGAGGACGTAGTGTATGACTACAACTACGGCTACCAGAAGGCAACGGCGGGTTAAGAGCTTAGGGTTCACAAGCCGCACACTTGGGCTTAGGGTAGGGCTTGGGTTTTAGACCTCAGGGTTAAGGGGTAGGGATTGAAAGCCCGATCGATGTCTTATGAGCTGTGCAACCCTGTAGGAAATGAATCCTTTGAAGACCTTTGCAAGTTGGGGGGGCTGCGCCCTCGCCAACTGCCCTCAAGTTCAGCATTTGTTGCTGGTGCAGCAGACTATGATAGTCTCCCGCAGTGTTCCCGCCATCATGGAGCTTCAATACAAGGAGCCGCTGTCTGTGGTTGTGTGTATGTGTTATGTATACGCCCGCAGATGTGGCCTGCTGGGCCAGGGTGCTAGCTATTCTACGGATGCGTTCCGGGAGGCCATTTGCGGATTTGTCTAGACCTACTTGCGTTATTTGCATGTTGCAACGGAGTTTCTCGAAGCCGTTGCTATGAAATGCTTCGGGGGGGACAGCTCTCGCGTGGAGCGTCCTCGCGCTTTTGCTCAAAATCACGCTGTGGCGTGGAGCATCTTAAGGAAAGCGAAACAAGAAAAAGGATCAAACACAAATGGGAGCAACAAATCAACTATTTATTGGAGGTACTTTTGTTGAGTGGTCGCTATAGTGAGGATAACAGTTCTTTTGAGAGAGAGAGAGAGAGAGATGTACATGTACATAACATGCAATCCTTATCTTACAGTAGTGCTACACCCCGAGAAACGAATTAGGAAGATTCCCTTTCCTCTCCTCATATTTTGTCTGTATCCCGCAACTCCTCTTCTGATTGTTTTGTGGCCTCTAGGAAGCATTCCATGGTCATTATCTATCTGGGTGGACAGACGTCCTTCACGCTGCGACCCAGTAAAGTAAGAGGAGTGCCTCTAGCCTCATCATCGACGTGCGTGTGCAGTTTTTCTGCCAGTGTTCAACTTTTGTCACTTGCTGTTCTGCAGCAGCGTTGTGCACCGACAAGCGCTCCTTTGATTCATGTCCCACACTGACCTATAGAACTCAAACGGCTCCACAAGACGAAACAAGACAAAGCAGGCATCCGATGCCTGGATGTTACAGTAGAGGTCTAGGGTGTGGCTCTTAGGTTGAAGCATCCGCTTTGTTGCGGAGTAGGGGGCGTTTAGTTTTCGGGGAACTTATTGCAAGCACCACAGCCGTTGAATCTGGGCAGTGGATGGACACCAGAATAGTTTTTGTATTTGGGGTTTTACAGCTGCCCCACCACTATAGTGTTCGATGCGTGATGCTCTCCTTTTGGTTGGCTATTATATAAGAAGAATATAGCATTATCTGTTCTCAACCTGCATGAACACCTTTAAAATGGTGAGACAAACCTTGCTACCCGCGACTTCCTTGTAGAAATCACGGACTTTCAAACCCTAAACCCGACCCGGAACCAGGATGTTCATCCTTTCCGGGGATATACCTTGGAAAGTTATAAGGCAGACTCTAAATCCTAGACCCTGCCCAGCTAGTTGCAAGGCCAATGCCGAGTTCGTCAAGCTGAAGTACGAAAAGATGAAGGAGAACGCTGCTTGGCGAGAAAACAAGCTCTACATGAAAGGCTTTCATAACGCGGCGGCTCAACTACTACAAAACCTCAACCTGAAATCTTTAACCTAGTTGATATTCAGAAGAGGCGTTTATTATGGGGACGGGTACGAGCTGGAATTGGCATCGCGGGTCAATTTTGGTATGCTTCTACAAGAAAGCGCGAAAGTCATAAGAGTGACTTATGTAGTCCTGCATACACTTGCTTAGGCTCCTCTGGTACATCTGTCTGCCAGAAACATTCCTTTGCAGTCTTGTCATTTCTTTTCATTCGCAGCCTAAGCCATCGAAATCCTAAACCTTAGACCTTAAACACCGAGGATAGAACCCAAAATAAATGCCTTTCTTATTCAGTCTGGTGTTCGAAGTATGGACACCCAATCCGGGCTTCCAGCCTTTGTGGGGATTTCCACGGGACATTAGAAAATGTGTTTAGAGTATATACAAGATATGCAAGGGCCCCAGGTCAAGGTCAAGGTGCTTCTACCCTGAGACGGTCCGGTTTCTTGGCCCAGGTCCTGAAGGCACGCAATGAGAACGAGCGCGCAAAGGCTGATGGCCATGTCCTTGAGCATGGGTGATTAGGCGTTTAGGGTTTCACTTGGGGGCCCCCTGCTTTTCTTACACCGTGGGTTCCATAGTTGTTTTTTTGGAGCGTACCTGCTGCAAAACACCAAATCTAGCTGGCACAGCCCCACGGTGAGGAAAGGATCAGCCCCTGAACCCTGAATATTAAACCCCTAACATACAAGCCCGAACCCTGTGCAAACCTGAAACCCTCAACCCCAAATAAACACAAACCCCAAAATCTAAATTTCAGGGTCTAGCACTCCTGTATCAGAAGCTCTAGGTTTCAAACATCTTCAGAGTAGGCACTGCCTTTCACATGACTGCTGCCGTTTTGGCCAGTTGTATCGCATTGAGCATCATTCACACTTAAAGTTCCACTCTCCACTGTTGTTGTACATACTGTAAAGCCGTAAAGCAATTAAGATTGCAGGCTTCTGGCGGTTCTTTAGAGCCACTGGGTGGCTTTGGTGCGGGTATTAATACTCGCAGTAAACATTCTGCTGAGTCTGCCAAAGAATTTGCTTCCATTTGATCTCTTTTTATACCTAGTTCAGCAGCAGCAGAGTGCAGCAT